GGATGAGTGAGGATTTTACAGTTCTGGAGGTGGGAAGTACAGTACCTGTACTCTAAAGGGATGATGAGAATGTTACAGTTCTGGAGGTGGGAAGTACAGTACCTGTACTCTGAAGGATGAGTGAGGATGTTACAGTTCTGGAGGTGGGAAGTACAGTACCTGTACTCTGAAGGATGAGTGAGGATGTTACAGTTCTGGAGGTGGGAAATACAGTACCTGTACTCTGAAGGATGAGTGAGAATGTTACAGTTCTGAAGGTGGGAAGTCAGTACCTGTACTCTAAGGATGATGAGGATGTACAGTTCTGAGTGGAAGTACAGTACCTTACTCTGAAGGATGAGTGAGGATGTTACAGCTCTGGAGGTGGGAAGTACAGTACCTGTACTCTGAAGGATGAGTGAGGATGTTACTGTCCTGGAGGTGGGAAGTACAGTACCTGTACTATGAAGGATGGGTGAGGATGTTACAGTTCTGTAGGTGGGAAGTACAGTGCCTGTACTCTGAAGGATGAGTGAGAATGTTACAGCTCTGGAGGTGGGAAGTACAGTACCTGTACTCTGAAGGATGAGTGAGGATGTTACAGCTCTGGAGGTGGGAAGTACAGTACCTGTACTCTGAAGGATGAGTGAGGATGTTACTGTCCTGGAGGTGGGAAGTACAGTACCTGTACTATGAAGGATGGGTGAGGATGTTACAGTTCTGTAGGTGGGAAGTACAGTGCCTGTACTCTGAAGGATGAGTGAGAATGTTACAGCTCTGGAGGTGGGAAGTACAGTACCTGTACTCTGAAGGATGAGTGAGGATGTTACAGTTCTGGAGGTGGGAAGTACAGTACCTGTACTCTGAAGGATGAGTGAGAATGTTACAGTTCTGGAGGTGGGAAGTACAGTACCTGTACTCTGAAGGATGAGTGAGAATGTTACAGTTCTGGAGGTGGGAAGTACAGTACCTGTACTTGAAGGAAGAGTGAGAATGTTACAGTTCTGAGGTGGGAAGTACAGTACCTGTACTCTGAAGATGAGTGAGGATGTTACAGTTCTGGAGGTGGGAAGTACAGTACCTGTACTCTGAAGGATGAGTGAGAGATTTTACAGTTCGGGAGGGGGGAAGTACAGTACCTGTACTCTGAAGGTTTAGTGAGGTTTTTACAGTTCTGGAGGTGGGAAGTACAGTACCTGTACTCTAAAGGGATATGAGAATGTTCAGTTCGGAGGTGGGAATCAGTACCTGTACTCTAAAATAATGAGGATTTACAGTTCGGGAGGTGGAATACAGTACCTGTACCTAAGGGAGAGTGGGGGATTTACAGTTCTGGAGGGGGGAAAGTCAGTCCTGTCTCTGAAGGATAGTGGGGATGACATTTCTGGAGGGGGGAAGTACAGTACCTGTACTCTGAAAATGAGTGGGATTTTTACATCTGGAGGGGGAAGACAGTCCTGACTTAAAGGATGGGTAGGATTTACGTCCTGGAGGTGGGAAGAAACAGTCCTGTACTTGAAGGAGATGGGGATGTTCATTTCTGAGGGGGGAAGTCAGTCCTGTACTCTGAAGGATGAGTGAGAAATGTTACAGTCTGGATGGGAAACAGTACCTGTACTCTGAAGGATGAGTGGGGATGTTACAGTTCTGGGTGGAATCAGTACCTTCCTGAAGGATGAGTGAGGATGTTACATTTTCGGAGGGGGGAAGCATACCTGACTCTAAGGGGGGGTAGGATTTTTTACAGTTCTGGAGGGGGGAATACAGTACCTTCTCTGAAGGATGAGTGAAATGATTTGGATGGAAGAAACTGGAATGCAATTTCGCATTTCTTGTAAAACAGGATTAAATATGTTGAGTTTTGTTCACTTCTTTGAGCACTTTGCTTTGCCAGATGAAGTTAAAAAAACCAAATGTGGAAAATATACATTACTAAAAATAAACACTCTTTCGAACTACAGGAGGGTTTTTAATAGTAACCATTTTTTTTCAAAATAAAAAATATATAAAAAAAATTTAATGCTTTACAAAAACATCATGGAAAAAGAAATACGGGACATGCAACACAATGTTTAAGTGTTTTCATAGAAAAACAGTTTTTAAGATGAAGACTGAGCAGTATGTTTGGGGGGAAGAAACAACCAGAACGGCCGCCTTCCACCCACAAGGCACGGGGACCGAAAAAGAAAAATCACTTTCACCATCACCATCCTCACGTCTGCAAGGGGCACATAATTGACATTCACATACCCCCCAAACACAAAATTTCCCCCCCCTCCTTTTGACTAAAATACTTAATTATGTTTAGGGGAGAAGATTTGTCAAAACGGGTGTGCGAAAAAGCCCCTTAACTTTTTTTTAACTAACCCATGGCAACAAGGATCTAAATAAGACGCTCACTTTGCCAGATCCCCAAAGGGAAGTGAAAAACAGATTATTAAAGTGAACCTCCACTTATGAAACAAATGAAAAATAAAGAAATTTATATAATTTTCAACTACGAGAAGGTTTTGAAAAAAAAATGCAACAAAAAGCTTGAATTGCTGAAAAGATAAAAATGATAAAAGAAATTAAGAAAAAATTTTTTTCAACTACATAAATACCAACTAAACCTTCGCTGGGGGGGCCCTCCTACGGTGTGACAGGAAAAAATATAGCAGAAAACGAGCCAAAAAACAAAAGGGAAAGATACAACAAACTAAATTAAAAAAAAGAATAGCAAATAACATACAATTTTAAAAACGATAGAATTGTCAAAAACCCAAAGAAAATATTTTTAAAAGAAAGAAAACGCAACACAAAATTGAATTTCAACATCTTATTTTGGTTTCACCTGCCAAAGGAGGAAATCTAAGGGTTTTCCCCGGGGAAAAGGGTCCATCTTAATAATGAATGATTACATATTAATCATCTCATTGGAATCTAAACTCACCCTCCGTCTTAAGAAGGGTTCATCCTGCAAGCAGAAAAACAAAGAATAAAATAAACAACATTCAGGTTGTAATAATGGTGGTAGAATTACCGACAATGTTAGGTAAGAGGACGCGGGACATAGATCAATGTTAAGATGGTATAAGATACAGACACCCCCAACTTACGAACAAGTTACATAAGGCTGTTTTTATCTTGAGCTGTTCTTAAGTCGTTATTTTGCCATTTTTCTATTGTTACGATTATTATTGATTTTAATATTATCATTATTATTGTTCTGTCTCTGTGCCATTGTTCGTTGAAAACTTTAAGACAATACTGTACAGTATCAGTAATGTACTGATACTATACAGTCTGTTTGTATGCCTGAATGTTTGTTCATATGCCCGAACGTTCGTAACTCTAATGTTCATTAGTAGGGTAGCGTCTGTACCGACAGGTTGATAAGTAAGACGTGGGCAACATTTTAAGTACCTACCCCAGAATAAAGATCCCTAACTGTGGCACGTCTTACTTCCCAAATGGGATGTAGGTTATGGCTTGACAAAACTCCTGGAGGGCAAAATGTTGCCATAATAAAATGTCGCATTAGATGCACACGTGTCCTTTTACCTCACATTCAGGTTATGGGAAAATATGACAAGGACAGCAAAACTCTTTCACAAGACAAATCAACTTACATAACTTACCTTTCTAAGCCTCCTAGGCCTCCAGAAACAATCTTAGGGCTTACCTTGGCGACTCTCTCCTCTATCGAAGGCCCCCCTTGCAATAATACAGATTGCAAGTACTTCTTATCCTTGGCTTTTCTGAAAAATGGATGTTTCAGGAGCTCCGAGGGCAGTGGGCGCTTGGTGGGATCTTTCTGCAGGCAGTCTGTTATCATCTTTCTTATAGTTTTACCATAGCTCTTGTACGGGTCCTGGAATGGAACATAGAAATTTGATCACTCTATTAAGAACAATTTCAATTATTCAGAAGTGTGTGTGTTGGTTAGGTTAGGTAAGGCTTGTAAGGAAACAGGACAAGTGTTTTCCAGTTGTGGGTCTTGGGGCATATGAAGACCCACGCTGGAGCTTTTGGTAGGGGAGTTAGGTAAGGTTGGTCAGGGAACAGGACTAGTGTTTCCTGATGCACGTTTTAGTTACATGAGACCCACAGCTGGAACTTTTGGTCATCTGACCAAGGCCTTCCACTGGCTTACTCTCCACCACCTTAAAAATTATGGTTATGATTATAAGCATTTGTCGTATTTGTAATTACCTACTGGAAGCAAATTTTTGGGCCTGCCTCTACCTTTCAACTATAAATATAACAAGGAGCAAATTTGCGTTAATCAGTTGATTGAAGAAATGATAGACAAAAAGTCATAATACCATGACTGGAATAATACACAAATACATAAACTTATGATGACGTTTCGGTCTGACATGGACCACTGACCAGTCACACTAACACATGAAGGTAAGGGAACCAGTGGATATATAAGAGGACAGGGAGAGGACAAAGAGAGAAGGAAGAATGAAGTGGAGATGATCATAGTAGTAGTAGGTAGGGGGAGTAATGGTAGTGGCACAACAGATAGACAGTGGAGTGAATTGAGGCAATAGTAGCAGTAGTATTATCATAGTATAATAGTAGTAATAGAGTAATAGTGTAGTAGAAGTAGTATTAAAGTAGTAGTAGTATTATAGTAGTAGTATAATAGTATAGCAGTAGTATAATCATATCAGTAGCAGTAGTAAAGATAATACAAAGGGACGGAAAGAAGAGAAGAAGGCAGTATATATAGGCCAGGTCTGCTGGCCTATTTATATTGTCTCCTTCTTTCCTTTCTGTTAGTGTGACTTTGTAAATGGTCCAAGTTGGACCGAAATGTCGTCGTAAGCTCCTCTCTCCTATGTGCGGGTTATCTGTGTATTGTTCCAGTCAGGGTGTTGTGTCTTTTTGTTATTCTTCCTGTTCCATCATAAACCTCATCCTGGTACAACCTTGTTCTTCAGTCTAGTTGGCAGAATGTTAATCAGAATTCACACAGTAACACAGATTAATGCCTTCGCAAGTGAAGTCAGTTAACCTCTTTAATGTACCTTTTCTTCAGCACCTGTTTCCAGAGTGGGTGGATCATTCTGTAGTGTGAGCATGAGGACTTTCATGGGTGGGTACTTGTGGTAGGGTGCTGTCCCCGTTACCATCTCTATCGCAGTGATGCCAAACGACCAAATATCAGCCTTGAAATCATACCCCGAGACCTGGAACATTCAAAATCGTGATTTGAAACAATTATTCTCCACCCAATTTAAAGGGTGACTCAAATAAGAACTTCATAAAGTTTTTCTTTTTAAATTTAGTAATGTATACAGGAGAAGGGGTTACTAGCCCCTTTCTCTTGGCACTGTAGTCACCTCTTACGACACGCATGGCTTACGGAGGAAGAATTCTTCTCCACTTCCCCAAGGAGAAGTTTATAAATTTTTTAACATTAGCTGTCTCCCACCAAGGCAAGGTGATGCAAAAAAAAAATTTTCACCATCATTCACACTATCACTGTCTTACTAGAGGCATGCCAATACTACAGTTTGGATGCTCCTTCAAACTGCATTTATCTCCACCCCTCATTCTGAGGGCAGACCTTATATGTCGCACCTCCAGGACTTGAGTCCAGCTACCTGGTTTCCCTGAATTCTTTTACAAAATGTTACCGTGCTCACACTCCAATGGCTCAAGTCCCAAAAACCATTTATTTCCACTCACTCCACTCTAACATGCTTACAGGTACCTGCTGAAAGTAAGCTTCTCACACACAAAACCCCTTTACCCCCTCCCTCCAACCTTTCCTAGGACGACCCCTACCCCACCTTCCCTCCACTGCAGATTTATACACCCTCTAAGTTATCCCATTTTGTTCCATCCTCTCTAAATGTCCAAACCACCTCAACAACCCCTCCTCAGCCTTCTGGATATTATTTTAAGTAACTCTGCACCTCTTAATCTCCAAGCAACAAATTCTGTGTATAACATTTATGCCACCATTGCCCTGAGACACATCTCCACTGACTCCAGCCTCCTCCTTGCTGAAACATGCCCAACCCATGCTTCACACCCATGTAAGAGTGTTGGTACTACAATACTCTCATACATTTCCTTTTTGCCTCTATGGATAATTTTCTTTGTCTCCACACTCCTTGGTGCACCACACACCTTTTTACCCCTATCAATTCTATGATTCGCTTCACCTTTCACAGACACATCTGCTGACATGTCCACTCCCAAATATCTGAATACATTCACTTGTTCCATACTCCCTCCCTCCAATCTGATATCCAATCTTTCATCATTTAACCCATTCATTACCCTCATCATCTTGCTCTTTCCTATGTTCACTTTAAATTTCTTTCTTTTATATACCTTCCCAAATTTGTCCACCAGAGTTCAAACTTTGGGACAATACAACTCTACTACTGCTTTCGTGAAGATAAAAATGCAATGGGATTGAATGTGCGTGGATGTAGTGCGGATGACAACAAACAGATGATTGCTGATGTTATGAATGAAAAGAAGTTGGATGTCCTGGCCCTAAGCGAAACAAAGCTGAAAGGGGTAGGGGAGTTTCGGTGGGGGGAAATAAATGGGATTAAATCTGGAGTATCTGAGAGAGTTAGAGCTAAGGAAGGGGTAGCAGTAATGTTGAAGGATCAGTTATGGAAGGAGAAAAGAGAATGTGAATGTGTAAATTCAAGGATTATGTGGATTAAAGTAAAGGTTGGATGCGAGAAGTGGGTCATAATAAGCGTGTATGCACCTGGAGAAGAGAGGAATGTAGAGGAGAGAGAGAGATTTTGGGAGATGTTAAGTGAAATATATAGGAACCTTTGAACCAAGTGAGAGAGTAATTGTGGTGGGGGACCTGAATGCTAAAGTAGGAGAAACTTTTAGAGAGGGTGTGGTAGGTAAGTTTGGGGTGCCAGGTGTAAATGAAATGGGAGCCCTTTGACTGAACTTTGTATAGAAAGGGGTTTAGTTTATAGGTAATACATATTTTAAGAAAAAGAGGATAAATAAGTATACAAGATATGATGTAGGGCGAAATGACAGTAGTTTGTTGGATTATGTATTGGTAGATAAAAGACTGTTGAGTAGACTTCAGGTGAACATGTTTATAGAGGGGCCACAGATATATCAGATCACTTTCTAGTTGTAGCTACACTGAGAGTAAAAGGTAGATGGATACAAGGAGAATAGAAGCATCAGGGAAGAGAGAGGTGAAGATTTATCAACTAAAAGAGGAGGCAGTTAGGGTAAGATATAAACAGTTATTGGAGGACAGATGGGCTAATGAGAGCATAGGCAATGGGGTCGAAGAGGTATGAGGTAGGTTTAAAAATGTAGTGTTAGTGTGTTCAGCAGAAGTTTGTGGTTACAGGAAAGTGGGTGTGGGAGGGAAGAGAAGCGACTGGTGGAATGATGATGTGAAGAGAGTAGTAAGGGAGAAAAAGTTAGCATATGAGAAGTTTTTACAAAGTAGAAGTGATGCAAGGAGGGAAGAGTATATGGAGAAAAAGAGAGAGGTTAAGAGAGTGGTGAAGCAATGTAAAAAGAGAGCAAATGAGAGAGTGGGTGAGATGTTATCAACAAATTTTGTTGAAAATAAAAAAAGTTTGGAGTGAGATTAACAAGTTAAGGAAGCCTAGAGAACAAATGGATTTGTCAGTTAAAAATAGGAGAAGAGAGTTATTAAAAGGAGAGTTAGAGGTATTGGGAAGATGGAGGGAATATTTTGAGGAATTGTTAAATGTTGATGAAGATAGGGAAGCTGTGATTTCGTGTATAGGGCAAGGAGGAATAACATCTTGTAGGAGTGAGGAAGAGCCAGTTGTGAGTGTGGGGGAAGTTCGTGAGGCAGTAGGTAAAATGAAAGGGGGTAAGGCAGCCGGGATTGATGGGATAAAGATAGAAATGTTAAAAGCAGGTGGGGATATAGTTTTGGAGTGGTTGGTGCAATTATTTAATAAATGTATGGAAGAGGGTAAGGTACCTAGGGATTGGCAGAGAGCATGCATAGTTCCTTTGTATAAAGGCAAAGGGGACAAAAGAGAGTGCAAAAATTATAGGGGGATAAGTCTGTTGAGTATACCTGGTAAAGTGTATGGTAGAGTTATTATTGAAAGAATTAAAATTAAGATGGAGAATAGGATAGCAGATGAACAAGGAGGCTTTAGGAAAGGTAGGGGTGTGTGGACCAGGTGTTTACAGTGAAACATATAAGTGAACAGTATTTAGATAAGGCTAAAGAGGTCTTTGTGGCATTTATGGATTTGGAAAAGGCGTATGACAGGGTGGATAGGGGGGCAATGTGGCAGATGTTGCAGGTGTATGGTGTAAGAGGTAGGTTACTGAAAGCAGTGAAGAGTTTTTACGAGGATAGTGAGGCTCAAGTTAGAGTACATAGGAAAGAGGGAAATTATTTCCCAGTAAAAGTAGGCCTTAGACAAGGATGTGTGATGTTACCGTGGTTGTTTAATATATTTATAGATGGGGTTGTAAGAGAAGTAAATGCGAGGGTCTTGACAAGAGGCGTGGAGTTAAAAGATAAAGAATCCACATAAAGTGGGAGTTGTCACAGTTGCTCTTTGCTGATGACACTGTGCTCTTGGGAGATTCTGAAGAGAAGTTGCAGAGATTGGTGGATGAATTTGGTAGGGTGTGCAAGAGAAGAAAATTAAAAGTGAATACAGGAAAGAGTAAGGTTATGAGGATAACAAAAATATTAGGTGATGAAAGATTGGATATCAGATTGGAGGGAGAGAGTATGGAGGAGGTGAATGTATTCAGATATTTGGGAGTGGACGTGTCAGCGGATGGGTCTATGAAGGATGAGGTGAATCATAAAATTGATGAGGGGAAAAGGGTGAGTGGTGCACTTAGGAGTCTGTGGAGACAAAGAACTTTGTCCTTGGAGGCAAAGAGGGGAATGTATGAGAGTATAGTTTTACCAACACTCTTATATGGGTGTGAAGCATGGGTGATGAATGTTGCAGCGAGGAGAAGGCTGGAGGCAGTGGAGATGTCATGTCTGAGGGCAATGTGTGGTGTGAATATAATGCAGAGAATTCGTAGTTTGGAAGTTAGGAGGAGGTGCGGGATTAGGGCTGAGGAAGGGTTGTTGAGGTGGTTCGGTCATGTAGAGAGAATAGAGCGAAACAGAATGACTTCAAGAGTGTATTAGTCTGTAGTGGAAGGAAGGCGGGGTAGGGGTCGGCCTAGGAAAGGTTGGAGGGAGGGGGTAAAGGAGGTTTTGTGTGCGAGGGGCTTGGACTTCCAGCAGGCGTGCGTGAGTGTGTTTGACAGGAGTGAATGGAGACGAATGGTTTTTAATACTTGACGTGCTGTTGGAGCGTGAGCAAAGTAACATTTATGAAGGGGTTCAGGGAAACCGGCAGGCCGGACTCGAGTCCTGGAGATGGGAAGTACAGTGCCTGCACTCTGAAGGAGGGGTGTTAATGTTGCAGTTTAAAAACTGTAGTGTAAAGCACCCTTCTGGCAAGACAGTGATGGAGTGAATGATGGTGAAAGTTTTTCTTTTTCGGGCCACCCTGCCTTGGTGGGAATCGGCCAGTGTGCTAATAAAATAAATAAAAATGCAATGCATAAAATTTTTACTACACAAGGAATGAAAGTTTCTGTTAAGAGGCCAGAAAAGCACCTTAACTGCAACCTGAAAGCAAGGAACCTCTCGTAAGAGGATGAACTGAGGGCACTGAATTTGCACTCTCTGGAAGGACCTAAAATTAGTGGAAGATACGATAAAAGTGTACAAGTGGAAAACAGAAATAAAGTGGATGTTTTTATTTTTTTTTTATTATCACACTGGCCGATTCCCACCAAGGCAGGGTGGCCCGAAAAAGAAAAACTTTCACCATCATTCACTCCATCACTGTCTTGCCAGAAGGGTGCTTTACACTACAGTTTTTAAACTGCAACATTAACACCCCTCCTTCAGAGTGCAGGCACTGTACTTCCCATTTCCAGGACTCAAGTCCGGCCTGCCGGTTTCCCTGAATCCCTTCATAAATGTTACTTTGCTCACACTCCAACAGCACGTCAAGTATTAAAAACCATTGTCTCCATTCACTCCATCAAACACGCTCAGATGCCTGCTGGAAGTCCAAGCCCCTCGCACACAAAACCTCCTTACCCCCTCCCTCCAACCCTCCTAGGCCGACCCTACCCCGCCTTCCTTCCACTACAGACTGATACACTCTTGAAGTCATCGTTTCCTCCATTCCTCACATTCCGAACCACCTCAACAACCCTTCCTCAGCCCCCTGGGCAACAGTTTTGGTAATCCCGCACCTCCCCCTAACTTCCAAACTACGATTCCCCTTGCATTAATTACACCCAAGGAATAATTTTCCCCCCCGTTTCCCCGCGAAAACACTACCCCACCTTTTACACCCAAAAAAACTTGGGTAAAATAACCCACTTTTCCCCTTTGAAAGGACAAATTTTTTTTAAGACCCTAATGCCCCATAAACAAAATTTTAACTGATGTAACATGTTAAATATATCACATTCATTATTCAATAAAGGATTATTAAGCCAGAAAGGTTAGGAGCACTAAATGAGGGTGCGAGAGAAGACAATGGAAGTGTTGGGGGAAAGGGACACCGTGAGGGGGTCACATTTAATGAAATCATCCCAATTTGGGCTAGTTAATTGGTCACATTAAGGGGGTCCCAAAAATTTGGTGCAATTGTGAACTCAAGTAAATATTAGCTGGCCCAAAATTTGGCTTTAGTTGTGAAATCACAATCAGTCGTCAGCTTTAAAGTAAACGTCAAAAAATATCATGGCCCAAAGGCAGCACATCATGTCAAGAAAAAATCTTCGGTTTTAAAGGGGGGGGGGGGTTATCTCTCAGCCCTCAGCCTTGAGGGGCTTAGTCCTTCAAAAGGGGGCTAATGAACTCTACCAATCGGGGCACTGAAGAAAGTATCTAAAATGAAGTCGAAAGCCCTGAAAAACCAAAAGCCTTTCATCAGTCCTTTTTATTTTTATATATACGATTCAGAAACTTCAGCCATACACAATACAATATAGTTCTAAGAGGTACATTAAAGACTATGCATCAAAATACTGGAGATCTAAACCATGAAAACAATGACACATCAAAAACAGAACACAAGACAAAATATGGAGAACAGTTTAAGTAAAAAGCTATAAAGCAAATTATAAAGTGTAAAGTATCCCACTTTAGAACACTGTCAACAATTACAACCAGAAATAAAAAAATACTGCAAGGGGCTAGTAAACCTCTCTCCTGTATAAATTACTAAATTTTAAAAGAAACTTTCGTCTTTCTTTTTAGGTCACCCTCCCTGGCGGACAGGGTGGTTTGCAAAAAAAATAAATAAGGGTGTGTAAATAACTGCGGGCCGAGATAATCTGAAAAAACCCAATTCAGGAATCACCTTTCAAAAACTGCGAAGATTTTCCCCGATTAAAAAACTTGGGCATAAAAAAATTGGTACAGGAAGGCCCCATTATGGGCTTTTAATTTCCAGGCTCCGCCGTAAAGTGGAACACCCTTTTTTTTCCACTTAAAAATCATACAAACACTAGTAACAAGTTTACACTAACATATTTAATTTTGAAATAGAACCGGGCCGGGAAAAACAAAAAAAAGTACAATACAACATATGCACTCATTCTTCCTTAAATATTTATATCTTTAAACTAGGGTGAGACAAGTATTTTTATTGTAAAAAATAAAGTGTATGTATGGTAGTCACCCGGTACCATACCAGCCACCCACCCACACTACTTTTTTATTATTTAACATCCCGAGCGATAAAATGTAAATCAGTTTACTCAACTTACCTTAAAATAAGGGGGAGATATATATTTATTGTAAAAAAACAAGTGGGTATTATGGAGTCACCGGGGTACCATCCAGGCCCCAACCCCCTACACAAATTCTATTTCATTTAAGCATCCCCGAGCGATAAAAAAGTTATACAGTTCACCATACTTCCTTTAAAAAATTTGTAGTTTTAATTAGGGTCAGGAGTAATAAAGAATAAAACAATAAAAAGAAGAAAGAAAGAGTGCATAGAGGGACAGGGCGAGTTAGTAAAAAAAAACCCGGGGGAAGGGAAAATTTTTAAACAAAAGTGACATCTGGTTTGTGTACAAGTTTACATTGTGTAATGTCTCTACATTTAACGGTAGAATAAATAAAGAAGAACACTCCCCTTCTATGAACATCATTTTTAGAAGAAATGATCTCTATGAAGGCAAAAGGGAAAAAATCACTCTGACTTTTTGGGGTTTCCTAAATTCTCTACACAATTTGTTTTATGATAATCTATGAACGTATTTGTGAACCCGAATAACTTTCATACTACAAAAAAAATAATTTTTTTTTTTACTTTTCCCCCAGTAACACTTTTTTTCCCTTTTGTTTTGATTTTGGAAAATGTTTTTTTTCTTGGCATCACTTGTCAAGTTATCTGGTTACCCCATCTCATATTTAGTTTATTTTTCTATTGTAGGGGGTATTTATCATTTTTTATTTATTAGTGTTTTTATTAAAATTTTTAAAAAAAATCATGTGGATTAATGAAAATGTGTATATTTTAAAATAATATACAACATTTAATGAGACTCGGGATTTTTATTATTATTATTACATTTCTAATATGGGGCACTTGTGCAAGTCGTCTGCTACCACATTTCTATTTTTGTTTTTTTTTCTATTGTGGGGTGTATTTATCATCTTTTTATGTTATGTATCGTGTTTATTATATAATTTTGAAAAAATATCATAGATGGATTAATGAAAATGTGTATTTAACGTAATATACGACATTTAAATGAGACTCGATGATTATTATCATCATTACTAATATGACGTCTGGAGACATAAGACACTCTTACTGATTTTAATGTGTACCTACATGCCAGCACGGTATGTAAGTTTATTTAAGTACAGGTATACATAAGTATAATTATCAGAGTATATATAAAATATGAAATAACTTTTAAAAACATTTGAAATTTTGGAGTTTCCAGACAAAATGGAGAGACTTAGAGCTTACTGAGCTCACGAAGAATGTAAACAAACAAGGTGGAGCGCGGTGACCGTATTAGAAAGTCAGGTGGGGGGAGCCGTATAGCGAGTTTTGGTCATAATTTGAAATGACCATATTAGCGGAACGCCGTAAAGTGAAACGCCGTAAAGCGGGGCCTTCCTGTATAAATAAATTTATTATTATTATTATTAACACACTGGCCGATTCCCACCAAGGCAGGGTGGCCCGAAAAAGAAAAACTTTCATCATTCACTCCATCACTGTCTTGCCAGAAGGGTGCTTTACACTACAGTTTTTAAACTGCAACATTAACACCCCTCCTTCAGAGTGCAGGCACTGTACTTCCCATCTCCAGGACTCAAGTCCGGCCTACCGGTTTCCCTGACCCCTTCATAAATGTTACTTTGCTCACACTCCAACAGCACGTCAAGTATTAAAAACCATTTGTCTCCATTCACTCCTATCAAACACGCTCACGCATGCCTGCTGGAAGTCCAAGCCCCTCGCACACAAAACCTCCTTTACCCCCTCCCTCCAACCTTTCCTAGGCCCAAACCCCCACCCCGCCTTCCTTCCACTACAGACTGATACACTCTTGAAGTCACTCTGTTTCGCTCCATTCTCTCTACATGTCCGAACCACCTCAACAACCCTTCCTCAGCCCTCTGGACAACAGTTTTGGTAATCCCGCACCTCCTCCTAACTTCCAAACTACGAATTCTCTGCATTATATTCACACCACACATTGCCCTCAGACATGACATCTCCACTGCCTCCAGCCTTCTCCTCGCTGCAACATTCATCACCCATGCTTCACACCCATATAAGAGCGTTGGTAAAACTATACTCTCATACATTCCCCTCTTTGCCTCCAAGGACAAAATTCTTTGTATAAATAAATTAGTACATAAATAAATTTTTTAACACATTGGCTGTCTCCCACTTAGGCAGTGTGACCCAAAAAAGAAACTTTCACCATCATTCACACTACCACTGTCTTGCCAGAGATGTGCAGATATAAGAGAAATCAAGCACAGTCATTCACTTAATATACAATGTTTCTAAAGATTTTAAACATTTAAATTATTTACAAATATAGCTAAGGAAAATCCTTTAAAAAAAGTTAGCTAACATTGTAAAATGTATTAAAGGTCAATATTTAAGGATATATTCCAGGTATCCAGTCCTTACTTGCTCCATGACCTCTGGTGCCATCCAGCAAGGGGTGCCAACAAAGGTATGCCGCGACTTTTGCCGCGACAAATCACCACCGGTTGACAGCCAGGCACTTACACCGAAATCAGCGATCTGTACAACACCGTCCTCACCTAACAATATATTACCGGCTTTGATGTCTCTGAAAATATTAAATGCCTGTATTAATTCCATAAACAATGTTCAGTTTGTGGAGAAAGACACTTGTGTACAGTTCAAGACGTTAGAGGAGCTGTTTCACCACTCAACTCACAATTTGCAGGAAATGCTCAGCATAACAAGGGGCTTTCTATATAGCAGTATGTCACTGATGTCAGTTATGGTCTGTATAACTTGTACATGTACTGGTAGAAATATTTCTACATGTACAAGGTATACAAGATGATGATGATGATGATGATGATGATGATATGATGATGATGATGATGATGATGATGATGATGAATGATGATGATGATGATGATGATGATGATGATGATGATGATGATGATGATGATGTGATGATGATGATGATGATGATGATGATGATGATGATGATGATGATGATGATGATGATGATGATGATGATGATGATGATGATGATGATGATGATGATGATGATGATGATGATGATGATGATGATGATGATGATGATGATGATGATGATGATGATGATGATGATGATGATGATGATGATGATGATGATGATGATGATGATGATGATGATGATGATGATGATGATGATGATATGATGATGATGATGATGATGATGATGATGATGATGATGATGATGATGATGATGATGATGATGATGATGATGATGATGATTATGTATTATATCACCATCATACCATTTTTCAAAATCCAGTTTCCTTAACCTCTAACACTGTGTACTATGGTAAAAATGCTACAGTAATGACAATATAGTAATTTACAATTTAACTTTAAATCACAGAACAGTCTTAAGTAGTGTCTAAGCATTAGGATCAGTCTGCCCGAAATGCTCAGGCATGCTAGTGGCTTTTTTTGTGTTTAACGGTACAGTGGAACCTTGGTATACGACCAGCTCCCTATTCGAACAAAGCTCAGCACTTGACCAAACAAATACAACCTGCCAGAACTTCGCTGTAAATTATTTTGTGTTTCTTCGCATTTTCTTTTTGTATTAGTTCTATAAATAAGTCACCATGGGGCTTACGACGATTAGTGATAACAGCCAACCAAACAGAAAATTGGTTGGGAAGAACTTGTTCGATACTCAAACGGAGAGGCACTCGAACAGCCTTCTGGAATGAATTAAGGTCGTATACCGAGGATCCACTGTATTACATTTAACCCTTTGACTGTTTCAGGCCCCTCTCTGAAACTGTCATTCTATGTCGCTCAATTTTTAAAAAAAAAAAAAAATTATTTTTTCTTATGAAATGATAGAGAATCTTTTCCCAGTGGTAATGGCACCAAAAGTTCGAAATTTGGTCGAAAACTCATGGAATTATGCTCCCGTGAATTTAGCGGTCTCGGCGACATATGCGTATCGGCGATTTTGCCGACTTTGAGCCCTATTTTCAGCCAATTCCATTGTTCCAGTTGACCAAACTCATAGCTATTTCTTTAGAACTCCATTTTATCTATCAGCTGAGTACAAGAAACCTCCCATTTACTAATTTGGACTACCCAATATGGTGGTCAGAAATTGTCAATTTGGCCAATTTCACACAAACTAAAAAAGATACCAATTTCAAAATAGGGTCCAGAATAAACAAGGTAGACATTCGTGGCACTAAAATAACATATGCTCTGTTCATTAGTCACATCTCTAGGCCCCTCTTATATTATTATTGCTTTCTATTTTGATTTTTTATTCATACAAAAAAATACAAAATTTACTGTTATGAAGACTATTGCATTATTGTAAAAGTGGTATATATAATATCAGTGCACTAGTGAAAGTATATTAGACTCCCCAGTTGACGTGTATTGGACGTGTGGTGTGATTTATTTACTCCTGAACATTGGTAAAAATCGAACATTTCCACTACTTTGAGCTCAGTTTCAAGGTCGTTTTCATCGTCAAAGTAATGAAAATCATCTCTGTTTCTGTAATATGTTTTCCATTTTATCACCTACGACCATGAAAACGCGAATACAACAATAAATACTATACGAAAATACACCTCAAAGTCGGCGTTTTATTCCAAAAAAAACGATCAGTTTTTTTTTCTCATTACGCAATGTGTGCTGCAAGATTTTTTTTATGTGGTGCACACTGATCACACAGACCCATTCTCTCACACGTGGGCCTACCAGCTTTCTCCCGCTTGATTTGAAGCCGCTAGAATTATTGAGTATATATACGTCAGAAACATTGGCTCGTAAGACGTATTTATACGTCGAAAACAGTCAAAGGGTTAAACTACATTTTGTATACTACACAAAGAAATAAAATTTGTTTTTGTTTGTTTAATATTAAGTCACAATGGATGGAACAATTCACAACTAAATTACAGTTTATGGAGAAAATGCCAATTTAGAACTTATCTATAAATTCTGGGTTAGTGGTAAACTCTAATCACAATGTGCCTGCACAATATTTCTTGAAGAACCAGACACTTTTGCGACATTTGGGAAAATTTAATGACGTAATATTTCTCAAGCCAGTGGCTCCTTCAGTCCAATACAAAGAAAACCAATAGAAAATGAGGAATGAAGAAGCCAGTGGCCTCTTCAGTGTCTCATTCTTCAACTTACTCGTGTTGTAAATCACATCACAACATTTCTTGCATCAACTGCCTTCTCCGAAGGATGTTCTCCCCCTCCCAACAATTTTTATCCACACCCAACATGCAGTTTCTCGACTAACAAAATCATAATGACATGATTGTAAACAAACCAGGGTACGGGTGGGGACTGAAATTACGGCGAGTGAGTGGTCAAACTCTCGGCTAGTGTGTAAGTCACTGGGCCAGCTGGCTACAATATGATTCATCTAACTAGGTATATTTATACACCATAGGGAGGTTAGTATGGATCCCACTTGCCACGAGTTCAATCCCCACCCGTACTGTGGTTTTTTTCATGTAGTCTCCAGTTTGTAACAATGCTTCACATTCTAACCTCTATTTTTTTTTAACACATCAGTCGTCTCCCACTGAGGAAGGGCGACCTAAAAAAGAAACACTTTCACCATCATTCACACAACCATTGTCTTTGATAAGATGAGATAAAACTCAAACTACTTTGTAATATACAGCCTCTCCTCACTTAGCAGTGTACTCATTTACCGATGACTCAGACTTACGACGGGCTCTCTGACTAGTATACATAAATAAGTAATGTATATTACAGCTGATTTCCTCTATTCTGTTTATTACAATATACAGTACACTACTGTATAAACATTTAAAAATATACAAGAAATGTTATAAATGGTACAAAGGTGACATTAAAACAATATCAAAGATGGTTGACACAAACTCACTACTATTATAGTGTGCTCCTCAGCGATGAATTCGTTTACCAATGCGGTCTTAGGAACAGAACTCCGTCGTCAAGTGAGGAGAGGCTGTACATATTAAGTTATACTCATGCCTAAATTCATGTCTGGGTTCCTAGCATGAGCCAGTTCAGGAAGAGAGCTAAAAGGTACCTAATGAATGAACCTACAGAAAGGGAGGAGAGTAATTTCTTGTACAGCTAACATCCATGTACTATTATTGTAAGCTAATCTTCTCTAATGCTGATGTAAATAACTCAGTTTACCTTATCTCCTTTTACTGTAAGCTCCTTACCTGTTTTAACTTTTAAGATTTAAATAATAAGATATTACAAGGACTCAATGGAAATAAGTCACCGACTTTTTTTTTGGGGTTATAGTAGATAATTTACACTATGTATGATAACTGTGCTTATGTGTAGCTGTGCCTGAATAAACTTGCCATGGTGTCCCGTGGCCTGGTTGGCAACGCTTTCACCTCATACACCGAGTGTCCGTAGTTCAATCCCAGTTGAGTGGAAACACGGGGCATTTCCTTACACCTGAGGTAACCATTCACCTAGCAAGCAAGTAGGTACCTGGATGTTAGTGGCATCCTGGGCAGACAAGATTGAAGGACCAAAATGGAAATAAGACAGACAGTCTTCAATGACCCACTGACTTTCATGGGTTATCCTGGGTGGCTAACCCTCCAAAAATCTAATCTTACTAACTTCCTCTATCCACCATTGATAAAAGTATTACACAGAAGCCTCAGCAGGGTGTGCTAACTCTCTGCTAGGAAAGACAAGGGACAACACTACATGACATAGCAGTAAATTAAACAACTAGCTAAGGATATATAACTTTAGCTTTCAAGATTACCTATGGATTTGTCCATTATTATGGAAGTACTCGAGGCCCTTCAATACTTCCCGTAACGCTGTTGCGATGACTGCTTCATCAAACACCCCGTGCTTACAGTCATTTGTTTTCATTCTGCAAGAGATAAAGATGGAGAGATAAAGCCAGAACAAATAATTTACGAGCAATACTGAGAAAACTTACCAAACAATAACACCATGGTCCATTAGTTAAAGTTGACAGAAAATGAGCGGCGTATGGCAACAGCTGCAAATGCGGCCCACCCAGTACTCTTTTATTTACTCCAATTCGAAGGTTTCTTATATTTTCCAATATTTTTCTTTTCTAAGTAACTTGTGTGGCCTGTGAGACCAAAGTAAGATGCATTGTTCAAATATACACTCATTGTTTACAACACAATAACTGAACAAACATTATCACTATTAGATTGTGTACAAAACTTGTTTACACAAACAAACAATACAAAACATTGTTTTTTACTATTGTTCCATAATATATATACATATGTAAAGTCACTGAACACTTTCCTAGAACTGCTGCAGCTTGTGGAACTCTTTGAAACATGGGTGTATGCAGAGTGGCACTTGACACTCCTCACACATAAAACGAGTGTCTCTGTGTGTTTGTGGGCATTTTGTGGTATGTCCACATACAAAACACCTCTTCTGAGCACTTTTCTTGAAAGCAGGAGGAGGCAGTTGTATGGGGTAGTGATCATCAGGCCTCAAACGAGATGGCATGTGTTGGTAATTTCGTGGGCGCTGGTCTATTGCAGGTGTTGCTCCTTGGTGCTTGGTGATTATTTGTCTGATGACTGACAAACAAACACTATATTTTGGTTTGTTGTTGGTCCTCAACTTGTATATGTTATAAGCATTTAGCATGGAAATATCAAGAAGATGGGAAAAAAAGTTTCATATACCGCTTATAACTCTTACGTACACAGTCAGCAAACTCAATCTGCATGTCACATTTGTCCACTAAGTGCATATTGAGGTTGTAGTCCATGACAGCTGCAGGTTTTAGAATGGGTTCCTTGGTCTCTCTACTGTGCCCGCCAGTGTGTGCCATTTCGTTTTGGTGAACTGATGTCAACAATTTGACATCAGGTTTGTAATGCCACCAAAATGCCATGATGTCATTGGCAGCAAAGGCCTGCACCTCACCTTTGTGAGTGCCAGCATCGAACCTTGGCATATGTTTACGATTACCTAGAAGAGGACTACCTAGTGGAGGACTACCTAGGTAGTAGGTTGGTGGACAGCAACTGCCCAGGGAGGTACTACTGTCCATCAAGTGAGTGTGAAATGGAACCCTGTAATTGTTTTACATGATGGTAGGATTGCTGGTGTCTTTTTTTCTGTCTCATAAACATGTCTTGCTACTTCTACTTACACTTAGGTCACACTACACATACATGTACAAGCATATATATACACACCCCTCTGGGTTTTCTGCTATTTTCTTTCTAGTTCCTGTTCTTGTTTATTTCCTCTTATCTCCATGGGGAAGTGGAACAGAATTCTTGCTCTGTGAGGCATGTGTGTTGTAATAGGCAACTAAAATACCGGGAGCAAGGGGCTAGTAACCCCTTCTGTATACATTACTAAATTTAAACGGAGAAGCTTTTGTTTTTCCTTTAGGGCCACCCTGCTTTGGTTTGGTACAGCAGTTTTGTTGAAAGAAGAAGAAATGGAGAATTATCACTTTTTCACGGATGGGAAGCACTTCATCGCTTCTCTTAGGCTTTGAAGAACTGCCACCATCACTAGTAGTACTGCACTTTGTGTCCATTATTAAGAAAAATTAAAGCTTATTTTCAGGGCATGTTAAACTGTGGATAACTGAAACCGCAGAAACCGAATCTGTGGATATGCAAGTCTTACTACAATAATGTATTTCGTAACTTGTAGTAACTGTCAGCAAGGACGAGACTAAAGCGACTGAATAGAAAACGTTCTTTTTTAATTTTTTGCAGTGAAAACTAATAACCTGAGATTGAAGTCTAAAGTGAAGTTTCTGTACATGAGAAAGTTCCCTGGCTTTCAATATTTCAACTTTATGACCATACAAAAGCAATTACGTAATTACTTTGGAGATGAATTATCCAGGATGAAGGCGGTAAGTCCGTAACTTGCATTCATGTATTTACTTTCAATACTCGTTACAGAAATTACTTCTTAATTTACTTATTCAATGACAGCAGTTATTTATTTAGCATATGTTCATAGTAATATTTAGTGAAGGGATTCAGGGAAACCGGTTATTTTCATATAGTCGGACTTGAGTCCTGGAAATGGGAAGTACAATGCTTGCACTTTAAAGGAGGGGTTTGGGATATTGGCAGTTTGGAGGGATATGTTGTGTATCTCTATACGTATATGCTTCTAAACTGTTATATTCTGAGCACCTCTGCAAAAGCAGTGATAATGTGTGAGTGAGGTGAAAGTGTTGAATGATGATGAAAGTATTTTCTTTTTGGGGATTTTCTTTCTTTTTTGGGTCACCCTGCCTCGGTGGGAGACGGCCGACTTGTTGAGAAAAAAAAAAAAAAAAAAAAAAAAAAAAAAAGAGAATGTTCATAGTAGTACCAACACTCTTATATGGGTGTGAAGCTTGGGTTGTGAATGTTGCAGCGAGGAGGCGGTTGGAGGCAGTGGAGATGTCCTGTCTAAGGGCAATGTGTGGTGTAAATATTATGCAAAGAATTCGAAGTGTGGAAATTAGGAGGTGGGGAGTTAATAAAAGTATTAGTCAGAGGGCTGAAGGAGGGTTGTTGAGGTGGTTTGGTCATTTAAAGAGATTGGATCAAAGTAGAATGACATGGAGAGCATTTAAATCTGTAGGGGAAGGAAGGCAAGGTAGGGGTTGTCCTCGAAAAGGTTGGAAGGAAGGGGTAAGGGAGGTTTTGTGGGCGAGGGGCTTGGACTTCCAGCAGGCGTGCATGAGCGTGTTCAATAGGAGTGAATGGAGACGAATGACATTTGGGACCTGATGAGCTGTTGGAGTGTGAGCAGGGTAATATTTAGTGAAGGGATTCAGGGGAAACCAGTTATTTTTATATAGCCGGACTTGAGTCCTGGAAATGGGAAGTACAATGTCTGCACTCTAAAGGAGGGGTTCGGGATATTAGCAGTTTGGAGGGATATATTGTCTATCTTTATATGTATATGCTTCTAAACTGTTGTGTTCTGAGCACCTCTGCAAAAACAGTGATTATGTGTGAGTGAGGTGAAAGAGTTGAATGATGATGAAAATATTTTCTTTTTTGGGGATTTCCTTTCTTTTTGGGTCACCCTGCCTTGGTGGGAGACGGCCGACTTGTTAAAAAAAAAAAAAATGTTCATATTTAAGTTACAATGGGTTTGTTGGAACGTAACCCCATTGCAAGTCTAGGAGGACATGTGCATCGGCCAAGCCACTGGAAATTCACGTACTTATGCAATACAGTCTCATTATTTAGTTCTACAAATACATATTCTAGTCTTACAGGATTCCTTAGTATGAAAATACTGGTAGTATACAATAACAACAAGTCAACGAATAAGACGCGTTATCAGTTTATTGCTTGGGTAGCACTGAAAACTAGCAAATATTTTTGTTAGTGGGTTTTGATTTGATAAGGACCTGCATAGTATGGGCCAGTAGGCCTGCTGCAGTGTTCCTTATGTTTTTATTTATGTAACACTTGCCTATCTTCACTGCCAGCAACATATACTCTGGTGTTGCACTTGTGTCTTATTCACTGCTGCCCAGCACGTGCGGGGCGGTGGACGGGAACAGAGAAAATAGCATCATGAAAACAAAAATGTATTACATATAAAACATAAAAACATATTGTATGTACAGTATTTTATGGCGAACAAGATGCTCCAGTGTCGAAGATGCTTCCCCAATTCTGACTGGTTAAATTTTGGAAAAAAAAAAGATTAATGGTTCTTTGGCCTCCAAGATGCTGGATAAATTTACGACACTTATTTTAGGGAAAAAAATAGTCTTTGACGCAGAAAAATACGGTCCTATCACTTTGTTAGAAAATGCACATGTTAGAACTTCCACCTGACATACCTTTGCTTGATAATACTCAACAGGCATCCTCTTCCTAGCAGCTTGAACACAATGGAAATATAAACACATATGCAGTTTAATGTGATCCTTGCAGCATTCTCCACCTGACCTCAACATTCTGAACCTGACTATAAATACTCACGTACCTTCCACCTCAGGTAGATCTGTTTGTGACTTGAAAAAGCCCACTGTGTGGGCAAAACGTTGTCAATAAAGGATCACATTAAACTGCATATGTGTTTATATTTCCACTGTGTCGGTATTTTATACCATTTCCAGCTTGTACACAAAATGAATGTAAATATGCTTGTTTCTTAGAGCCAAACTTGAGTTCTGAAGGTAGGAGGTACAGTGTCTGCACTCTGAAAAAGGATTGACACTCTGGGTATACACATACACACACACATGCAAGCACGCACGCACGCACAGAGCACGGCTTCAAGGTGAAGGTTAAGACATGCGGAGTGAACAAAATGTGGCGTACCTGTGCTTGATTATGTCCAACAATGACCCTCCTCCTAGTAGTTTAAGGACCAGCCACAGCTCCTCCTTCACAACGAATGATGTGTAGTATGTTACTACGTTCTCATGGTGACACAGAGACATAGCTTGGATTTCCTTCTGCAAAGAGGAAATTATATATAGTGCATGGAAGAAGTGAATGTGTTCAGATATTTGGGAATGACATGTCAGCAGATGGGTCTACGAAAGAAGAATCATAGAATTTACGAGGGGGAAAAAGGCGAGTGGTGCACTGAGGAGTCTGTGGAGAAAAAGAATGTTATCCATGGCAGTAATGAGGGGAATATATGAGAGTATAGTGGTACCAACACTCTTATATGGGTGTTAAGTATGAGTGGTGAATGCTGCAACAAGAAGAATGCTGGAGGCAGTGGAGATGTCTGAGGGCAATGTGTGGTGTGAATATAATGCAGAGAATCTGCAGTCTGGAGATCAGGAGGAGGTGCAGGGTTATTAAAAGTATTATCCAGAGGACTGAAGAAGGCTTGTTGAGGTAGTTTGAACATTCAGAGAAGATGGAGCAAAATAAGATGACTTGGAGGGTGTATAAATCTGTAGTAGAGGGAAAGAAGGTAGGAGTTGTCCTAGATAAGGTTGGAGAGAGGCAATAAAGGAGGTTTTGTGTGCAAGGGGCTTGGACATCCAGCAAGAATGTGTGAGTCTGTTAGACAGGACCGAGTGGATGCAAGTGGTTTATATGACTCGATGTGCTGTTGGAATACGAGTAAAGTAACATTTATGAAGAGATTCAGGAAAACTGGTTAGCTGGAATAAAGTCATGGAGGTGGGAAGTACAGTGCCTGTACTCTGAATGAGTAGTGTTGATATGTTGCAGTTTTTAACTCTAGTATTGGAACACCACTGGAAAGACAGTGATGGAGTAAGAGATAGTGAAAGTGTTTCTTCTTTTTTGGGTCACCCTGCCTCAGTGGGAGACACCCAGTGTATTTAAAAAAATAAGTAATATATGTATAATGCATGTACATATATGAGTATGTTTTCAAAGCACTGGGTATCTACAACTGAGGCAGAGTGACCCAATAAAAGAGAGGAAATGCATTCACCATCATTCATTCAACAGCTGTGTCACCAGAAGTATGTATATAGCTTACATACCACTTAAATCTAGATTTAGCATATAATTTTAAGTTTCTGTGTATCAGCACAGTTTGAGTAGTTCATCACGCCCACAAGTACAGACGAACCCCCGCATCCACGGATTCGGTATCCAGGGTTTCAGTTATCCACGGTTTACCATGGACTGAAAACAACCGTTAATTTGGCTTAATAATGACACCAAGATGCAAGAGCAGTGATGGTAGCAGTTGTTGAAAGCCTATGAGAAGCCATGAAATGCTTCCCATCAGTGAAGAAGTGTTAATTCTAAGACTTATTTTGCATAATTTATCAATTAAACCTCATTATAGGTGTGTGTGTAAACAAAAAATGACATATATAGGGTTCGCTACTATCCCTGATTTCAGGCTGCCACGATAGGTCTTGGAACGTAACTCCCGCAGATACGGGGTGACTACTGTATGGTGAAATAGTTGTGATAATGGTGAAACTGCCAACAAAATGGTAAGTCGATACAGATGCATTTTATCGTGGCAAAGTTTCACTCTCCAGGAACTCTATCAAGTCATAACGGCTTGACGAAGCTCCTGAAATGTTGCCACAATAAAATGTTACATTAGTTGTAACTGTGTCCTTTTACCTACCACAGTGAAACAAGCTGCAAATGAATTGGCCATTTACAATTATTGCCCATTAAAATGGTATAAAATACCGACAGGTTGTTAGGTAAGACACATATGCAACAGTTAGGTATCTTTATTTCGAAACGTTTCGCCTACACAGTAGGCTTGTGTAGGCTACTGTGTAGGCGAAACGTTTCGAAATAAAGATACCTAACTGTTGCATATGTGTCTTACCTAACAACCTGTCGGTATTTTATACCATTTTAATGTTCAATCTGTCAGACACTGCAACACAAGGGTATCTTGGTACAGACCTGCAATCAACTTCGACAACCTCCACTAGTGAGAATGGCTGGATTTGAGAGGGACCTGACCTCCCAACATCTGAGTTCTTACCTCTTCTAGTGACCTACGTCTCACCTCTCGGCGCTATATAAGGCTCCATCCTGTCACTTCATCTCCATGTTGTTTCATACTATGGAACAATGCTCTTCTCCAGACTGAGGGACTGACCACCTCAAAACTTTAAGGGTGATGGACTGATTACATCGTCTTCAAGTATCTTCTGCTTCTATCAACTTTTCTGTACTCGACTGAAGAAGCCTACTGTGTAGGCGAAATGTTTCGAAATAAAGATACCTAACTGTTGCATATGTGTCTTACCTAACAATTATTGCCCAAATGATCTGCATAACAATGGGCTTTCAACATGTGGATAAATGGTTCAGAGAATCAAAAAGTTGATACATTAAGACATATGCAAAGCTTGGGTATCTTTATTGTGGAAATACCTCACCACACGATGGCATCATCAGTCTAATACAAAGATTGATGGACTGATTACATCAACTCCAGGCTGAGGGACTTGTTACCTCAATCTACTGGTGATAAAGAACAAAGAGGCACAATACCGTGACTGGAACAATACACTGGTGATAAAGAACAAAGAGGCACAATACCGTGACTGGAACAATACACTGGTGATAAAGAACAAAGAGGCACAATACCGTGACTGGAACAATCTACTGGTGATAAAGAACAAAGAGGCACAATACTGTGACTGGAACAATACACTGGTGATAAAGAACAAAGAGGCACAATACCGTGACTGGAACAATCTACTGGTGATAAAGAACAAAGAGGCACAATACTGTGACTGGAACAATACACTGGTGATAAAGAACAAAGAGGCACAATACCGTGACTGGAACAATACACCAAGTCCAGAATTTTCTGTACTGTGTATAATATTTTTATACACAACACAGGGGTTTCCCAATGTTCTTGTAAGTTGAGGATTTCTTCTTTCTTTCAACACACCGGCCGTATCCCACCGAGGCTGGGTGGCCCAAAAGGAAAAACGAAAGTTTCTCCTTTCAAATTTAGTAATATATACAGGAGAAGGGGTTACCAGCCCCTTGCTCCTGGCATTTCAGTCGCCTCTTACGACACGCATGGCTTACGGAGGAAGAATTCTGTTCCACTTCCCCATGGAGATAAGAGGAAATAAACAAGAACAAGAACTAGAAAGAAAATAGCAAAAAACCCAGAGGGGTGTGTGTGTATATATATGCTTGTACATGTATATGTAGTGTGACCTAAGTGTAAGTAGAAGTAGCAAAACATACCACCTGAAATCTTGCATGTTTATTAGACAGATAAAAGACACCAGCAATCCTACCTTCATGTAAAACAATTACAGGCTTTCGTTTCACACTCACTTGGCAGAACAGTAGTACCTCCCTGGGCGGTTGCTGTCTACCATCCTACTACCTAGATGTTGAGGACTTACTGTACACAAATAACCCGCACAAAGGAGAGAGAAGCTTTTGACAATGTTTCAATCCGTCCTGTGTGACTTGTCCAAGACGGACCAAAACGTCACAAGCTTTTCTCTATGTGCGGGTTATTTGTGAACTGTTCCAGTCATGGTACTGTGCATTTTTGTTCTTTATCAGAGGGAGTTTGAGGTAATCAGTCCCTCAGCCAGGAGTTAATGTAATCAGTCCATCAATCTTTGTACTGGACTGATGAAGCCACTGTGTGGTGAAGTACAGCCTCTCCTCACTTAACAGAGTTCCGTTCCTAAGACCACGTCAGTAAACGAATTCGTCGCTACGCGAGGAGCATACTATAATGGTAGTGGGTTTGTGTCAACCATCTCTGATATTGTTTTAATGTCACCTAGGCACCATTTGTAACATTTCTGGTATATTTTTAAATGTTTATACAGTAGTGTACCGTTTATCGTAATAAACAGAATAGAGGAAATCAGCTCTAATATTTAGGTATGCACACTGGTCAGAGAGCCCGTCGTAAGTCCGAGTCGCCGGTAAACGAGTACATCACTAAATGAGGAGAGGCTGTATTTCCATAACAAAGATACCCAAGTGTTGCATATGTGTCTTAATGCCCTCTTAACATACTCTAAAGCAGGGATCAACACCACGCGGCTCATGGGCCACATGCGGTACACACCGACTTCAAATATTTATAAATAGTAATAGTACAGTGGACCCCCGCCTAACGATCAGCTCCCAACTCGACCAGTTATGTAAGTGTGTTTTTGTAAGTGCTTTTGTAAGTGAATTTTTGGGGGTCTGAAACAGACTAATCTATTTCACAATATTCCTTATGGGAACAAATTCGGTCGGTAACGGCACCCGAACAGATGTCTGAAATGAAATAATATCATTAGGCGAGGGTCCACTGTACTAATAAACCTTTATTTTTCACTTTTTTATTCATTTTAATTCTAATTGTTCATTTATATTTATTTATAAGACTGATTTTTTCTTTGGCCTGCAAAAAATGTGTAAAATATACAACGTGGCACCCATAGTGTCACCCATTTCTGCATAAACGTATCACGATGAAATTTGTTTTATGCATCTGGATTTGTATTAATTAGCATTAGCAACAAAACCATCAATAGCTTGCCATATATAGGATGCAAACCTATGGCAAGTTGGTCCTAAAACTGGAATCCAGTGCACTGCCCACTGAACCATGCCTTGCTAATAAGATTCAAACCAGGGAATGGGTGGGGTTAGAACCCATGGTGAATGAGTTGTAAAACTCATAAGCCACTGGGCCAGCTGGCTACAATAAAATTCATCCAACTAGGTATATTTATACACCATAGGAAGGTTAGCATGGGACACCACTGTGACCACAAATGCAAGTTTTTACAGATGAATCTCCCACCAGCGTGACTGTGAACTATAGCTCATGTCCCCTCAAAGCTGACACACACTGGCCTGGAGTTTTACAACTCACTTTCCAGGAGTTGTAATCCCACCCATACTGTGTCTCCAACTGTGTTATTACCATTTCATGAGTCATAATAAGATACATTCAAACAGAATAAATCCTCGACTTACAAATACATTGAGAATCTTCTGAAATGTGTATAATATCATTATTTTAAACAATGCAGGAGGTCCCCAACATGTTCGTAAGTTGAGGACTTATTGTATTATGAATATTTTACACAATGCAAGAGGTCCCCAATATGTTCGTAAGTTGAGGAACTACTGTAGGCTTATTTCTATACAAATGCAGTAGTGTACAACTCTTACCAATAGTTCATCCATACTCGTATTCCATTTTTCTAGGTTTATTCTCTTGATGGCACATTTTTCGTTGCGAGGGATACACAGCGCAGAATGTACAACAGCAGTGGCGCCAATACCTGCATCAAGGTACAAATGTATAAGTAACAGATTAAAATATGCATGAAGTATACTACAGTACTGATACATAAGAATGGAAGAACACTGCAGAAGGCCTACTGGCCCATACAAGGTAGGTCCAATAAACAACTTTATTTCTTTGTGTAGTATACAATATGTAAAAAGAAGATAAACTTTATAACTTCCGTCTTTTTTGGGTCACCCTGCCATGCTGGACGACGACCAGAGTGTTAAAAACAAAAAGATTACGATTCTAAATGCCAATAAATACTGATATTAACCCATTAACTGTCCAAACGTAGATCTACATTCACTCGTACAGCGCTCCAAACGTATATCTACGTTTTTTTACATGCTTTCACAAATGGAGAAAATCAAGGTCAGAGCGCTACATGCGAAAATGTAGATATACGTTTGGACAGTTGTAGGGTTAATATAACTCCGTACCAACCCATCAACAAACACAAATACAGTGACATCACTATAGTGACAAATTATTTCTTTTGGGGATCACCTTTCAATTTTATTTCTACAATAAAGTCTCAAATTTCTCGCACTACGAATTTTTTTTATATACTAATTGATCACTGAATCAACAAGCTTGACTTATTATACTTTTTTATTACTATTTTCAAATACAATGGTGTACTGTTAAAACCCCACGCATTCCATGGTTCGTGTTCAATCATGTTACTAAGATTTCGTAAGTCCATATTATCATAACTTTGCAATCATTATAACTTACCTTGGCATTAATACAGTATTACAATTAAGCTAAAATTATTACTGTCGTACAACAGTTAACTTTATTTCATGAATGGTTCTACGTGAAATTTTTATGGCACTAAAATGAGTAACAAGCTGAACTAGTCTCAAGTGACCATTACACACGCAAACGATATTTATGGGGTCCATAAAAACATAGTGTGAGTATAAAGTATTTATGTACTCCCTACTGGTACATACCCACTAAATTATTTATCTGAGCCACTGTGAGTGCTACGTGCAGTGTGTTGGTAAATAATTTATGTATTAGCATTGCTCAAAACTCGAGGTAGTTACTGGGTATATATTTATATCCAGACGATTGTGCTACGACTTATTTGCCCGAAGTGCTCTGCGTAACCAGTGGCTCTCCACATGTACTATTAAATTTGAGAATTTTGTAAACCTATGTATCATATGGAAGAAGAAAGGAGGAGGAGGAAGAGGAAGAAGAAAGAAGTAGTAGTAATAATTACTGGGGAACCTGACCCTGGATTGGACTATGTAAGTAGGAAAATTCTAATCTCTGTAAACAAACTATTATCATCAATATTAACAACCTCCAACAGTGATTATGTATGAGTGAGGTGAAAGTGTTGAATGATGATGAAAGTACACCTATCATCCGACTTACGACCGAGTTCGGTTCCAAGAAACCGGTCGTAAGTCGAAATGGTCGTAAGTCGAACTTTACTACTGAATATCAACAAAACGTTTTTGTAATGACTATTTTATTGTTTTATTTGGTATTTCATGTTTTACTTTACTTTTTATGTTGTTAGTACTGTATTTTATACTGTAAGGTTTATGATAAACACTGTGTACAACACAAATAGTTGTTTATTTCCCAGAAATTTGGCATAAAAAACCATGGTCGTAAGTCGAGCAGGTCATAAGTCGGATGGTAGGTGTATTTTCTTTTTGGGGATTTTCTTTCTTTTTGGGTCGCCCTGCCTCGGTGGGAGACGGCCGACTTGTTAAAAAAAAAAAAGTAACAACCTGACTCTGGGTAGGACTGCACATTCTAATTATTTATTTCTAAATAACACATTTACAAATTTCCGAGTGTCTTGTATACAAGTTACTGTGAACCAGATCACTGATAATGATGATTAGAACAAGGACCCCAATGGTAGCAAGTCGAGGACCCCAATGGTAGCAAGTCGAGGACCCCAATGGTAGCAAGTCGAGGACCCCAATGGTAGCAAGTCGAGGACCCCAATGTAGCAAGTCGAGGACCCCAATGGTAGCAAGTCGAGGACCCCAATGGTAGCAAGTCGAGGACCCAATGTAGCAAGTCGAGACCCCAATGGTAGCAAGTCGAGGACCCCAATGGTAGCAAGTCGAGGACCCCAATGGTAGCAAGTCGAGGACCCCAATGGTAGCAAGTCGAGGACCCCAATGGTAGCAAGTCGAGGACCCCAATGGTAGCAAGTCGAGGACCCCAATGGTAGCAAGTCGAGGACCCCAATGGTAGCAAGTCGAGGACCCCTAATGCAAGTCGAGGACCCCTAATGCAAGTCGAGGACCCCTAATGCAAGTCGAGGACCCCTAATGCAAGTCGAGGACCCCTAATGCAAGTCGAGGACTCCTAATGCAAGTCAAGGACTCCTAATGCAAGTCAAGGACTCCTAATGCAAGTCAAGGACTCCTAATGGAATGAAGTCAATGACTTTTTTAGGTGATCATTGGTAATTTCCATTATATATGATAAGTTTACTTACATGTACCTGTACCTAAATAAACTTATCAGTATAGTTTAAGCTTCAAATTTTGTTATATTTGCTTTAATTATTTGCTTAGTCAAGAGCTAAGATAAGATTTGTTTGGATTTTTAACCCTGGAGGGTTAGCCACCCAGGATAACCCAAAGTCAGTACATCTTCAAGGACGGTGTTTTATTTCCATTGTGGTCTTTCAGTCTTGTCCCCCAGGATGCAACCCACACCAGTCACCTAACACCCAGGTACCTACTTACTGCTAGGTAAACAGGGACAGCAGGTGTCTTAAGGAAACACGTCCTAATGTTTCCACCTGTACCGGGGATCGAGCCACAGACCTCAGTGTGCGAGCTGAGCAAGCTACAAGACTTCAGCTTATAATAATAATAATAATAATAATAATATCTTCATTTCTACCAGTACATGTACAAGGTATACAGACCATAGCTGACATCAATGACATACTACTGTAAGAAAGCCGCTTGTTATGCAGAGCAATTTCGGCAATTAGGTCAGTTTTGTCCCAGGATGTGACCACACCATCCACTAACACCAGGATTGTGACCCAACACAGTCCACATATACCCATGATTTGACCCACACCAGTCCACTAACACTAGGATGTGAACCCGAGCCTAGTCCACTAACACCCAGGATGTGACCCACACCAGTCCACTAACACCCAGGATGTGACCCACACCAGTCCACTAACACCCAGGATGTGACCCACACCAGTCTAACAGCCAGGTACCCATTATATACTGATGTGTGAACATGGACAGCAGGTGTCTTAAGGAAACACGTCCTAATGTTTTCCAGCAATACCAGGGCTTCGATCTCCAGACCTCAGTTGTGGAGCCGAGCGAGCTAGCAATCAAGCTATGGGTTAGCCCAAACGCTCAAGATAACCATGGACTTTCAACAAGCATTCCAATATAAACATTGCATAAACACTATCATGTTTAATTATTATTTTTTATTAACACATCAGCTATCTCCCACCAAGGTAGGGTGAGCCGACAAGGAAAAACTTTCACCATCATTCACTCCATCACTGTCTTATCAGAGGTGTGCTTACACTGCAGTTGTAAAACTGCAACATTAACACCCGTCCTGTTGAAATAAACTTGTATTTGTATAGAATACAGCCTCTCCTCACTTAGTGACGTACTCATTCACTGGCGACTCAGACTTATGATGGGCTCTCTGACCAGTATGCATACCTAAATAATGTACAGTATATTAGAGCTGATTTCCTCTATTCTCTTCATTACAATATACAGTACACTACTGTATAAACATTTAAAAATATACCAGAAGTGTTATAAATGGTGCAAATGTGACATTAAAACAATATCAAAGATGGATGACACAAACTCACCACCACTGTAGTATGCTCCTCACTTGGTGACGAATTTGTTTATCGACGGGGTCTTAGGAATGGAACTTCGTTAAGTGAGGAGAGGTTGTAATTACAAACTAATGCAATTTTTCACCTATAAAAACTAAAGAATTTTATGTGAAAACTTTGTGAACCGAAGTAAGAAAACTGACTAAAATCACAGACGAAACTCCATTGGCATAGGTGCCATCCTAGCTTAAAAGACCAATAGCAAATACAGTGGACCCCCAGTTAACGATATTTTTTCACTCCAGAAGTATGTTCAGGTGCCAGTACTGACCGAATTTGTTCCCATAAGGAATATTGTGAAGTAGATTAGTCCATTTCAGACCCCCAAACATACACGTACAAACGCACTTACATAAATACACTTACATAATTGGTCGCATTCGGAGGTGATCGTTATGCGGGGGTCCACTGTACAGGCAAGCCCCGCTTTACAGGGTTCACTTCACGGTGTTCTGCTAATGCAGTGGTTTTCAGTTACAATCATTTATTCAGACTTCCTACAATAAATATATTTAGCACTCGCTATAAGCTAAGGATGAAAATATGTGTACTGTATATGCATTTTTTAGGCCTAGCTTTTACATGCATTTGAAAGTGAAAAAATGCTGCGTTTTACTTCTAAGTGATTTTTGCTTTACTATAGTAGTCCAGAACCTAATGTATAAGAGGGGCCCTACAGTAGTCCAGAACCTAATGTATAAGAGGAGCCCTACAGTAGTCCAGAACCTAATGTATAAGAGGGGCCCTACAGTAGTCCAGAACCTAATGTATAAGAGGAGCCCTACAGTAGTCCAGAACCTAATGTATAAGAGGGGCCCTACAGTAACCCAGAACCTAATGTATAAGAGGAGCCCTACAGTAGTCCAGAACCTAATGTATAAGAGGAGCCCTACAGTAGCCCAGAACCTAATGTATAAGAGGAGCCCTACAGTAACCCAGAACCTAATGTATAAGAGGAGCCCTACAGTAGTCCAGAACCTAATGTATTTAAGAGGAGCCCTACAGTAGCCCAGAACCTAATGTATAAGAGGAGCCCTACAGTAGCCCAGAACCTAATGTATAAGAGGAGCCCTACAGTAGCCTAGAACCTAATGTATAAGAGG